GAGGTGGGTCAGAGGCTGAAGGAGCCTCCTCTTCGCTCGGCTGTCCCTTCTCAGCCATCACTTCCCTCTTCCCCCAAAAACAGCGGCCAAGCAAAGACACGGATACAGACACGGGACGGGGAGTCCCGCTGTGCAGGGGCCGGGCTGGCCGCGGCGTCGCCTCCCCTAGTCCAGGTCATTGGGGGCTTCTTCGTCTGTTAGACTCGGTCCGTTCACGGCCGGCGAATGGCACCGGCCTTGCGATAAATCCTCAAAATCGTGACTCGTGGTGGGGGAGATGATGTCGGGGCTCGTGTCGCAGGACTCGGTGCTCTGCTCGGAGGTAGCGATGGTGGTCGTGGTGCTCTTGGGAACCGGGTCGAAGTCGTCGTCGTCATCGAGAATCGGGGACTCGTGGATGTCTGCAAGGGAAGACGCTCTTGGTTTTGACGCCGGGACGACACGCGGCTCCATAACCCCAGGGACCCCCAGGAAGCAGAGAAGCTCCGGCACAAGCCCCACAAAGAACCTGCCTGTTCAAGCTGTGCCTGCTCGCAGCTCATCAACAGGTAACTGGTGTCGCCTAAAGCAGCAGCCACGTGCAGCTTGTAGCCTCACACAGGCTTATTTAAGAGCACAAGGACTTTTCACGTGGCTTTGTGCTCTCTCACAAGTGTGCTTAAAAGAATAAAGCCCTTTTGCAGCAGCAGCCATGTGCTGGGTGTCTCTTCCCATAGAGGACCCAACTCCCAAGAATCCTGTGTCCTTCAGGACAGGATTCCGCCAAAAGCAACGGAGCCCCAAGCTGCGAATGGGATCGAACATGAAGGAATCACTCACTGCTGAAGGCCTCGGGGTACTGCTTGGCCAGCTTCGCCTTCAGCGTCCTGCGAGGACAGAGCAGAGCACGACCGTGAGGCCGCCGCGCGCTCCGTGTGCGCAAAGCTCGCGCCCCGGCCCGCCTGATCCTTGGAAGACGCTGTCCAGGTTCCCCAACCCACCTGATCCTTGGAAGATGCTGTCCAGGTTCCCCAACCCACCTGATCCTGCGGAAGATGCTGTCCAGGTCCTTCTTCATCTCGACCAGCGTGCGGGTGTGGTGCAGGAACCGCTCGCTCATCTGCTGCATGCGCACGCTCGAGAGGTTGTTGAAGTTGAGCAGCATCTCGTTGGTCTTCTCGAAGCGACCCAGCCTGCCCGGGCGAGACGGCGCTGGGGAGGCGCCCGCCGGCTCCC